AACTCAGAATAACCTTCTTCTAGCTAGAGCTTCTGGAATGTGGGCGTGCTCAGGTGCTAGAGCGAAGTGCCCGCTGCATCCAGTATAGCTGGAGGCGACACCAGCACCGAAAGCAAGAGCTGCAGAGGCAAGCTGCAACCCTCCTCCAGGCAGGTGAGTGGGTGGGACCTCCTGTCAGCTACTGCATACTCCATCCATTGCTGAAGCAGTGTCCCACACCCCAGCAACATCTCTATGGTGCCCAGGAACTCAATTCCCCATCCTCCTGGCCTTCAGGACATTCCACAAGTTAGTGCTGCGCAGGCTCAAAGTGGCCCTTCAGTTCTATTTCTTTTTTTTTTTTTTGGGTCCGGTCGTGGGGCCTGAACTCTGGGCCTGGGCACTGTCCCTCAGCTCTTCAGCTCAAGGCTAGTGCTCTACCACTTGAGCCACAGCGCCACTTCCAGCTTTTTTCTTTTTGCTTATGTGGTGCTGAGGAATCGAACCCAGGGCCTCGAGCATGCAAGGCAAGCGCTCTACCACTGAGCCACCTTCCCAGCCCGAGTTCTATTTCTTTAGACATAGGTAGGTGCCTATGCCAACACCTTTTTCCCTTTTAACTAGACTCCAGGGCCTGGGAAGAGGCCAAAGCCACAGGAACTTATTCATCATGAATGAGCCAACATTTGCAAGAGTTTTATGTATGTGTTGGTAGTAGAGCTTGAACTCAAGGCCTTGCACTGTCACTTGGCTTTTCACTGATAGCTGGCATTTGAACCACACTTTCAGGTCCTGCAGCAAGTAGTCTTTTTTTTTTTTTTTGGGTCCGGTCATGGGGCCTAAACGCTGGGCCTGGGCACTGTCCCTCAGCTCTTCAGCTCAAGGCTAGCGCTCTACCTCTTGAGCCACAGCACCACTTCGGGCTTTTTTTCTTTTTTGCTTATGTGGTACTGGGGAATCAAACCCAGGGCCTCAGGCATGCAAGGCAAGCGCTCTACCACTGAGCCACCTTCCCAGCCCCAAGTAGTCTTTTTTTGAGAAACAAAAATATTAGAAACAAACTAAGACTAGGTGTCTAGAAACAAACTAAGACTAGGTGTCATAATCCCAGCACTCTGGAGAATGATAGGTTCAGGGCCAGCTGGGCTACACAGCAAGTCTATCAAAAAATAAACCCCAACGACCTGCCAGTAGTGAGGTCATACCTAATTTGTAGATGTGTCCTTATGAATGCTTCTAAATACTTTGGAGACCTATTACCTGCTTAGTGGAAAACTGCTTCCAATGTGATGTTCAGACCTGAACTCAAACCTGTTTTATGAGCCTACCTTGTACAGTGTCAGTTTGTGGAAGCATGAAGAAAATTAAAATTCCCATACTCAATAATTACTCTTATGAATATTTGGGCCTATCTGGTGATGTCATCTAGTGTACCCATAAAGTAAGCAAAGGAAAAGAATGTATTTTTTTTTGGTGATTCTGGGCTTTGAGCTCAGAGCCTCACACTTGGTAGGCTGGCAGGTGTGGGCAGTGTTACAAGAGATTTTAATGCCGGGCGCTGGTGGCTCACGCCTGTAATCCTAGCTACTCAGGAGGCTGAGATCTGAGGATCGATTGCGGTTCAAAGCCAGCCCAGGCAGGAGAGACCGTGAGACTCCTATCTCTAATAAACCACCAGAAAACCGGAAGTGGCTTTGTGGCTCGAGTGGTAGAGCGCTAGCCTTGAGCTGAAGAGCTGAGGGACAGCGCCCAGGCCCTGAGTTCAAGCCCCACAACCGACAAAAAAAAAGAAAAAAAAGATTTTAATGTTCTACCGCTTGAGATACAGCGCCACTTCCGGTTTTCTAGTGGTTCATTGGAGATAGGAGTCTCATGGTCTCTTCTGCCCGGGCTGGCTTTGAACCGAGATCCTCAGATCTCAGCCTCCTGAGTAGCTAGGATTACAGGCGTGAGCCACCAGCGCCCGGCTCTAATGACCATTTTTTAATATCTCTACTGTTTCTGGCAACCTCCTCAGCCGTCCGTTCCTGGTTAACTCGGAAACACATCCAGAGGCTGCACACAGCTGCCACAGTCATCAAGCATGCATGGCAGAAGTGGAGAGTGAGTATGACTCAAGTGAGACAAGCAGTACGATTCTGCCAGGTAGCTCTGCCATGCAGTGGGGGGGGCCTCAGATACAGCACTTCCTGGTGGGCTGCAAAAGTAGAGTAGCATAAACAATGCCAAGCATACACTATCCTTGGAAAGGCACACTGGTAAAGGGTGAACCCTGCAGTGTGTCACTGGTGTCTGTCAAGTTGTTTTGTTTTGAAGCAGCACAGGCACAAGGAACCAGTCTAGTTCACGTCCGCTGGCTGTTAACAGCCAGATGCCTTCAACTTACTATGTCAAGCTGACTTAGGAAAAATAGGCTTCCATTTTCCATTAAGAAGGCTACACAAAAGCCAGGCATGGTGATACACATCTACAATCCCCACACTCAGAAGGCTTAGACGTTTTAAGGCCAGGGCTGGGAAGGTGGCTCAGTGGTAGAGCACTTGCCTTGCATGTCTGAGGCCCTGAGTTCGATTCCTCAGCACCACATAAGCAAAAGCCGGAAGTGGCGCTGTGGCTCAAGTGGTAGAGCGCTAGCCTTCAGCTGAAGAGCTGAGGGACAGCGCCCAGGCCCAGAGTTCAGGCCCCACGACCAGACCCAAAAAAAAAAAAAAAAAAAAAAAAGAAGTTTTAAGGCCAGACCTATGCTATACCCTATCTCAAAAATGGGAAGAATTATGAGAGTACTAGACAAATTTAAAGCTATAAAGAAATGTTTTCTTTTTAAGACCAGAATGGCTTTCCTTGCTTCTAAAGAACTGGATGGAATAGAAGAAAAGCAAACACCTGGCTTCGTGAGCTGCTCACCACAGCCCCCAGCACAGACCAGACTCCTGGGGGCAATAACCCGACTCTGGCCCCTGGGATTGGTACTAGCCAACTCAGGTACAGGTATGCGAGGCTTTCAGAGGAAGTTAGTGGTCTGTGCCTGCCTCCAGCTTCCCTCAAGCAGCCCCAGTAATTACAACATCCAGACCGCACAACAAGACCAGGATGGCATCACATCCATCCGAGCATTGCCTCAGGTATGGTATCTGATGGAATGGTGGTCACCTGATGCCATAAGTACAGTACTACCCCACCATAGTTCCAGGTTGTCCACACCTCTCTAGAGAAGGCAGGCAGCAAAGCTCGGGTGCTCATGGGGGCACAAGACTAAGCTGGGTTATAGCCCCTCCCTGACTCTGCTGTGTAAGCCAGAAGTCTTTCCCACCAATAGCTGTAGGAGTAGTTTATTTCCACTGTTAGAACTGGGAACTAGGGACTTAGTAGAGCCTTCGCTTTAAAAAAAAAAACAAACAAACCTGCCTGTGAGTGTTTTGGCTCTGCTGCTATGCTACAGAGCCCTATGGCAAGCAGGCTGTTCAGCCTGTCTTCATGGGCCAGACAGGTGGGCATGAGGCAGCTCCCCTTGCAGGATGACAAGTGAAAGCAGAATGACACTAACAACTCAGGGAACATAGGCCTTTTTAAAAGCCCTACTTTGATAAAAATATGTGTGTATGGTGATCATTTGTGACTTCAGATGACACCAAATCTATCATCAGACTTTTCTCAAGATTTTTCCTTGATTTTTTTTTTTTCAACTGAGGAACTGACAAGTAACTAAGTCAGTCATCTAAGTCCTTTGCATTTCTATAAGCATCTGGGGCAGGACAGACAACAGGAAGTCACTGTAGCTGAGGGAAGGTGATGGTGTTACATGTGGAGGCAGCCCCTCAGGATATGAGCTCTGGCTCTGTCCCATTCACTGGCTAACTGGTAATGGCACATCACCTCAGAGCCTCCTTGCCATACTCATCCTAGTATTGGTGTACAGTGAGTGAAAGTGACAAGGCAGAAGAAAACAATTTCCACACTAGAGGATAAGATCTCACATGAAAGTGCATAGGCTAGGAAAAGTGTAAGTGTTCTGATCTTCTAGCGGTGAGCTGGTGTCTCATTCTGAATGGATGTGAAACTTGGTACCTTACTACTACTTTGGACTGCCACTGTTTTAGAATCAGAAAAATCACATCATTAACTAGCTGAGCATTTGTGCCCATAATCTTAGCTAGTCAAGAGGGTAAGATCTTCAGATCATGGTTCACAGCTAGCCTAAGCTGGGAAAGTCCATGAGACTCTTAATTAGCTAGAGTTACACTTACAGTTTTTTGCTAAAGTAGTAAAATGCCAGCCTTGAGCATAAAAACTAAGAGATAGAGCCCAGGCCCCAAGTTCTAGCCCTAGTACCAAAAAAGGAAGAGAGGGAGAGGGAACGTGAACTTAGTCCTGCAGCCAGTACCTGCCCACACCTCACATTTCTAACATAGGTTCTGAGAAGTACCCTTCATTCTTCACACCTCTCCTTTTTTCTCCCTAGGGCTCGGTAAAGTTTCACTGCAGAAAGTCTCCGCTTCAATATGCTGATACCTGCCCCAAACCTTCACCCTGTACTGTTTCAGGTTTTAATCAGATTCTGCTAGAAAGACACAAGTTGATCCATGGGTGACCTCTTCTCACCTACCTGGCTAAGTGATCTTTAATGCCTTTGTTTCTATAAGGCCTTTTCCTGCCAGCAGCCTTGCCAAAGACACTTAATTAGCATACAAGTGCCAAACAATTCTCAAGGCAATTCCAAATGCACACATACAACCAAGAGATCCAGCCTGCAAACCAGGGCTCCATGGCCAGTGTACCAGCCCACCAAGCACTGGTAGAGTGCCAGGGTAGGTACTTACCACATCAGGATTAGGTCCACAGAGACCTTTCCATTTCACTACCTTCATGGATCAAACTCAGCTGGAGACTCTCCATACTTGAGTGTTACCTGTTACTACAGCAGGGGTAGTCACCCACAAGCACTTTAAAAGAAAACAGGCAGAGTCAACCTACAATTGGCTCTAAAATCTTAGCTGAGGAAAACTTGACATTTAGTTAGGGGGGAATATTTAATAAGTTCTTGATTTATTTAATATGATTTCAAAGAATTAGATTAGGAACCAAGTACAATGCAATATACACAAGAACCACATCTTCCATTTAGTTTAGTAACACTGATCCAGTTTTTAACTGAACCTGGATGAAAACTTGATATTTATGTGTATCCAAACTGTATAAAAAATAAAATATAAAACCAACCTTATTTTGAATATCAAACACCTTCTTCATAAAGGCTCAACACCTTGAGTATCTATGGATCTGAAGATATGAATCTGTCTCGGAGATATGTGGATGAAGGCAAAGGCCTCAGGAACCCAGCAGCCAGGCCGCCTAGGGAACCCCTACCCAGCTCCAGGGAGGAGCCAACAAGTACTGGGAGTGAGGCATATGCTTGGGCAAGGAATACAGGACTTCATTTTATGAATCCTCATTCTGGGACGGCTCCACAATGCTTAAACAGCAGTCTGCAAACTCCACAAACAAAGGCTCTTGCATATAGGTTTTCATCAGCTTTGCTTTGTTGTCCCCCTGATCAAGGTTGACCATCAGGTGTCTAAGGTGTGGATTGGTCAATAAGCTTCTTAAAGTTGCAGATTCCCCTTAAAAGGAAAAAAGTCAAAGTTCAAATAGAATCCCTAGAGATGTCTAAAAGCTTATGTTTCTAATATAACAAACTATTAAGAAGTTGTATCCCCTTAACCTTTGTTTGGAACAGATAGACTTTTTCCTTAATATAGCTTAAGTAATACAGTGTAACACATTTACACAGTAAACTCAAGAGATGATGTTAAAGTATATGCACATAGGTTATATGCAAATAGAGCACTATTTTATAAGCAACCTGAATATGCTGGGGTTGGGGAGTGGATCCTGGAATCTCTTGCAGGGATTCCAAATACCACAAAGCTAACAACTCACAATCGCACTGTTTCACTGAGAACTATGTAAAATCAGTATAGTAATATTTTCAAGTTAGCAACAGAATTTTTCCAAGTTTTTTTATGGTCATGCCAGGGTTTGAACTGAGCTTTGCACTTGTAAATCAGGTGCTCTTACCGTAAGTTTGAGCCATGCCTCCAGTCCTTACAAGATTTCGACTTCTTAGATCTTTTTAATTTTATGCTATTTTAGTATTAAAAAACAAACAAGGACTGGAAAGGTGGCTCAGTGGTAGAGTGCTTGTCTTCTTGCATGCATGAGGCCCTGGGTTCGATTCCTCAGCACCACATAAGCAGAAAAGCTGGAAGTGGCGCTGTGGCTCAAGTTGTAGAGTTCTAGCTTTAAGCTGAAGAGCTGAGGGACAGTGCCCAGGCCCAAAGTTCAGGCCCCACCACTGACCAAAAAAACAAAAAAGAACCACCTCAGCCCAAATACTCAAAATAGAACTTTTTGTTAAGTGTAGCTTTTGTTTCTAGATGTGCATAAAGATTCTCTGTGATGAAGCATAGTTATACCAAGTACTCTGATGTCCAAGCTGGCCATCCAGTACGCAGAGTGAATGAACACGAATACCGGTCTGGGGCCTTTTAGTTAGTATTTTTTTCACTTCTGTATAATTACTACCAGGGGACCAAGTACAAACCATAAACTTTCAGTATGACATGGAAGAATAAAAATGAAATGAGCTTTACAACTACATTAGCTCATTTGCATGTGTGTGTGTATATCTATATATACATATATATGTGTGTATATACAGATATATAGATATAGATATAAATATATATAAAACGACTAAGGCAAGAATTAAATAAGATTGGATACTACAAAAATATGTGGATTTTTATTGGTTTGTTTTTTGTACAAGGCCTAGGGCTTGAAATTAAGAGCCTGTATACTGTCCCTGAGCTTTTGTGCTCAAGGCTAGTTCTTCACACACTTGAGGCACAGTTCCCTTTCCAGTTTTTGTGGTTAATTGGAGAGAAGAGTCTCATGGACTTTTCCTGCCCAGGCTGGCTTTAAACTATGATCCTCAGATCTCAGCCTCTTGAATAGCTAAGATTTTAGGTGTGAGCCACCAGTGCTGGGCTACTTCTCCCCTAAAAAAAGTCAATCATGTGGTTACCAGCCTACAATTAGAGCTAGCCAGTAAATGAAGCACTGGATATAGGAAAAATATCTCTCTACCTTACAGATTTGTGTGAGAGAAGTAAATTACCATAAAATGGGGAGTAAGTATATATATTAGCCATAAGTCCAAGGTACTAAGAAGCCAGAAAAATTGCCTAATTCTCAGAAGCAATAAATCAAGAATAGCTTAGCTAAGAACATTTGAATCACATCTGCAAGGTAAGTAGGATTCCAGGAAGAAGGAATGGGGGTGTTAAGGGCAGACTGGGAAGGGAGAAAACTTAAATGTTTATAAAACTGTGTGGCTAGAGATGAAGGGCACTGCATGGCACAGCAAATATTTAAGACGTTTTTGAAAATCATTTGAGGAAAAAAAGGAATTGGGGCTGTATCTATAGCTTTGTAGAGCATGCATGAATCCCTGGACTGGATCGTCAGCATTAGGGACAAGGAATGGCAATGACGATGCGTCTCAAATGGTAGAGTACAAGCTGTGAGCAAAAAAAAACCACAAGGTCCCATGTTCACGTCCCAGTACTGGCTCCAAGAAAGAAAGCACAGCATTCACTTACCTAAATTCTTCAAGCTCTGTAAAGAAACTCTGTCTTCTTCCTCATCACTATTGAGAAAATCAGCTAGAGAGTCATCATCTGAAGAACACAAGGCACAAACAACTGTTCAGGATTCTGACTTTTTTGTTGTTGTTGGTCATGGGGCTTGAACTCAGGGCCTGGTCCTGTTCCTGAGCTTCAAGGCTAGTACTGTACCATTTTGAGCCACAGCTCTCTATCTCATTTTCTGGTAGTTAACTGGAGATAAGTCTCATGGACTTTTCTGTCCAGGGTGGCTCTGAACTCCAATTCTCAGATCTTAGCCTCCTGAGTAGCTAGGATTACAGACCTGAGCCATTGGTGCCTGGGTTGGACTCTTGATTTTATAGTTATGAAAGAAAAAGTAACATCTGCTCTGAAATTCACAGTCACAGTAATATTTTCTTGTACAAATGGAAGTGGCAATAATTGGTGATTCGGCTGGGGCTCTAGCTTCTAGCTAGTCAACAGGTTGAGATCTGAGGATCATGGTTCAAAGCCAGCTGGGCAGATTAGTCCATGAGCCTCTTATGTCCAACTAACCACTAAAAAGCTTAAATAGAGAGCTGTGGCTCCAGAAGTAGAGCACTAGCCTTGAGTAAAAAAAGTTAAGGGAGCATGCTCTAGTTCTGAATTTATATTCTAGTGTTCACACTTCCCATTTCCCTGCAGTCTTTAGGATGGAGCCCGGTATTATAGGTCTTATCATCCTTCCTCCCATCTCCTTGGTAATGGGCCAGTGATGGGCTAGATGCTCTATAAAAATCAAATCAAATCCACTGTGCTTTCAGCAAAGACAGAAAATTACTGGCACTGTCTGAACCTACCCAGGAAGTTTCTCCAAGGACAAATAAACCATCTTTAGTACCTCTTTAGTGATACCAGAGGGACTGCTTGCAAAGCCTGGCACAATGCAGGATACCAGGAGGTACTGGGGAAACAAAGCATAGATGCATGGGTGGAGGAATGCATGGATGGAATGGGACAGCAGCCCACTAGATCAGCCAGGCCTCAGCAGGGAAACCCAAAGCGAGGACTAAAAGGCTCATGCCACAGGGCCCACTGCAAACCCACAGGCCATGTCCATTACTTCCTCTCCCTCTGCCTCCTGTATGTTTCCTCTCCACACTGGAGGCTTCAAGCTGCACTCACCACCACCAAAGAAAACTCATGCCATATTCTTGAGATGGAAGCTGCCACTTACAAATAAAGCCATCCCTTTCTACTTGCCCAGCCCACCTTCTTTCCTCCCTCTTTTTTTTTTTTTTTTTTTTTTTTTGTCGGTTGTGGGACTTGAACTCTGGGCCTGGGCACTGTCCCTCAGCTCTTCAGCTCAAGGCGAGCGCTCTACCACTTGAGCCACAGCGCCACTTCCGGTTTTCTAGTGGTTTATTGGAGATAGGAGTCTCACGGTCTCTCCTGCCCGGGCTGGCTTTGAACCGTGATCCTCAGATCTCAGCCTCCTGAGTAGCTAGGATTACAGGCGTGAGCCACCATCGCCCGGCTTCTTTCCTCCCTCTTATTCTCCGAAACCTCCTTGAGTTTTGTGTGGTTCAAAGCAACTACCCACCTTTGTTGTCCTCAGGCTTTGTGGTTTTTACAGGAGCTGCTGATCTTTTCTCAATGGGACGAGTTTCAGGGCTGCACTGCTCTGAAATGGACACAAATCTCAGGCATGAATCCCTCCTTTCCTGCCCCTCCCCACCAAGCCAAAGGGAAGGTTATAGATCAGGTAAAAATGGATGGGAAATAGGGAGAGATCAAAGGGACAGAAAAAGGAAAACCATTAGCAACAGTTACCCTGAAAGAGGGTGAGGAACTGGGACTTCGGTCCCCACCCTCCCTCTTTTGCCTAATCTCATAGACTTTTCATTATGGATTAAGTGGCACATGGACTTCACGTGGTCTTTTCAGCACATCTGCAGGCTGGAGGCATAATTCAAATGGCAGAGCATTAGCCAAGCAAGCAATCTTGGCAAGTTCAAGGTACTGAGTTCAAGCCTCAGTACTGGCAAAATAATAATAATAATAATAAAGTCAGGTGCCAGTGGCTCACACCACTACTTTGCTACTCAGGAGGCTGAGATCTGAGGATGGTGGAGCCAGCCTGGGCAGGAAAATCCATGAGACTCTTACCTTCAATTAACCACCAAAAAACCAGGGTTGGAACTGTGGCTCAAGTGGTAGAGCGCTCATATTGAGCTGAGGGACAGCGCCCAGGCCCAGAGTTCAAGCCCCACAACTGACCAGAAAAAAAAAAAAAAAAGTAATAATAAACTCAGAGATCAGACACCACATTTGTATGCACTATGCCAACTGAAAGGGCAGGCCCAGCAGGGGCTTGGATCTTAAGAGGAAGAAGCCAGTGCTAAAGAATGTCCCCACTAGGGCCTCAACAAGAACACGATTAAGTACTCAGATCTTTACTGGTGCATCATAGACTCATAGTCTCACACATCACAGGATCTGAATTTTGAGCCCAGGCACCCATTGTTGATAGTACCACCATGTGACAACATAAACACTGTGATAGTCTCCCTAGAGAACACTGCCAGTGAGCCATGGGGATTTTGAACTCAGGGCCTCAGGTTCTTGCTTAGCATTTCTGATCAAGACTTATACTCTACCACTTGAGTTGCACCATCACCTCTGGCTTTTTGATAGTTTTAATTGGAGATAAGAGTCTCAAAGACTTTTCTGCCCAGGCTGGCTTCAAACTATAATTCCCAGATTTCAGCCTCCTGAGTAGCTAGGATTATAGGTATGACCCACCAGCATACATTCAGGTGGAGTTTTCAACAAGGGATAGAATAGCTCAAATTTGCATTTTGAGAAAAATCATCCAAGGAGCAACAGAGGACCTTGATGCTAGAAGAGAAAGAGGAACTTGATGCTAGAAGAGTTACTGAAGGAACCCCACAGGGCTGCAGGTAAGAGGAAAATTGTTCAGGACCACAGATTCCCAACTGTTTCTAACAAATCAGCTCCATTTCTTTCCTATCCTGAGCTGTAAGATTAATTCTGAAAATGCTTCAAAGAGATCTGGAAAACCAGACTAAAGATGAAACTGAAGGCAAAAACAATCACAATGGGGCTGGGAAGGTGGCTCAGTGGTAGAGCACTTGCCTTGCATGCATGAGGCCCTGGGTTCGATTCCTCAGCACCACGTAAGCAAAAAGAAAAAAGCCGGAAGTGGAGCTGTGGCTCAAGTGGTAGAGCTCTAGCCTTGAGCTGAGGGACAGTGCTCAGGCCCAGAGTTCAGGCCCCACGACCGTACCCAAAAAAAAAAAAAAACCAATCACAAGGAACTTTGAAACAGCAGTCAACGGAGAGCATATGATATAACAAATAGGAACAAGACAGATTGGAGAAAGACTCCAACAGCAGACATGACACAATTAGCTGGGAGTATCCTGTGAAAAGGGGACAATGGTCTAGTCAGGGCAGTTCCAACAAGCTGCCAGTGACTAAGTACAAAGCAATGCACTAGATACCTAGTGAGATACATAGGTCTCACTGAAATCTTACAGACATAAGCTGTTGAATTTCACTTACAAAGAGAGTTAAGTTTTCCTGTAATAAAGAAACTGGTCCAGCCAGACACCCATGGCACTCACCTGTAGCTACTCAGGAGGATGAGACCTGGAGGATCAAGGATCAAAGCCAACCTGGGCAGAAAAGTCTGCAAGTCTCCATCTCCAATTAACTAGTGAAAAGCCAGACTGGAGTCATGATTAAGTAGTAGAGCTCCAGCTGTGAGTAAGAGAACTAGGTCCCAAGTTCAAAATCTAGTACCAACCCACATACATACACACAAAGACAAGTGGAAGATACCACTTGAGCCACAGCACCACTTCTGTTTTTTTCTGCTTATCTGGTGCTGAGGAATCGAACCCAGGGCCTCATGCATGCAAGGCAAGCATTCTACCACTGAGCCACTTTCCCAGCGCAAGTGGAAGATTCTATACTCCCATTTCCTGAATGGGAAGCAGGAAATGTTTTTCTATTTCTCCTACTATATCTAGCTGAGTTTTTTTTTTTAAAGACAAATGCAAAGTGTCTACCAAATGAAGAGATATGACCATTAGAAATTCTTTCAATAGCCAGGCGTTGGTGGCTCATGCCTGTAATCCTAGCTACTCAGTAGGCTGAGATCTGAGGATTGCGGTTCAAAGCCAGCGGAAACTCCATGAGACTCTGATCTCCAATAAACCACTCAGAAAACTGGAAGTAATGCTGTGGCTCAAGTGGTAGAGTGTTTGCCTTGAGCTGAAGAGTTGAGGGATAGTGCCCAGGCCCAGAGTTCAAGCCCCACAACGAAAAGAAAAGAAAAGAAAAGAAAAGAAAAGAAAAGAAAAGAAAAGAAAAGAAAAGAAAAGAAAAGAAAAGGGAAGAAAGAAAGAAAGGAAGGAAGGAAGGAAGGAAGGAAGGAAGGAAGGAAGGAAGGAAAGAAAGATGGAAAAGGAAGAAAGAAGGAAAGAAATTCTTGTAATATTCTGTGTGCTGAAGACCAAACCCAGTGATTCCCACATGCTAGACAAGTGCTCTACCACTGACCTACCTTCCCAGCTGGCTAATAATAAGAACAGAGGCCAGGTGCTGGTGGCTCACACCTGTAATCCTAGGACTCAGGAGGCTGTGATTTGAGGACTACAGTTTGAAGCCAGCCCCAGCATGAGACTCTTATCTCCAAATAACCATCAGAAAACTGAAATGGAACTGTGGTTCAACGTGGTAGAATGACAGCCTTGAGCAAAAAGCTCAGGGACAGGGCCCAGGCCTTAAAAAAAAAAAGTGTGTGTGTCTTAAAAAAGGGTGTGTGTGTGTGTGTCTTAAAAAAGGGTGTGTGTGTGTGTGTGTGTGTGTGTGTGTGTGTGTGTGTGTGTGTGTGTGTGTGTGTGTGTGTGTGTGTGTGTGTGTGTGTGTGTGTGTGTGTGTGTGTGTGTGTGTGTGTGTGTGTGTGTGTGTGTGTCCCAGGCCTTAAAAAAAAGGTGTGTGTGTATGTGTCCCAGGCCTTAAAAAAAAGGTGTGTGTGTTTGTGTTCCAGGCCTTAAAAAAAAAGTTGTGTGTGTGTGTCCCAGGCCTTAAAAAAAGGTGTGTGTGTGTGTGTGTCCCAGGCCTTAAAAAAAAGGTGTGTGTGTTTGTGTCCCAGGCCTTAAAAAAAAAGGTGTGTGTGTGTGTGTGTCACTTACATATAAAGCAAATGAAAAAATTTTTTTTCTTTTTTGTCAGTCGTGGGGCCTGAATTCTGGGCTTGGGCACTGTCCCTCAGCTCTCCAGCTATACACTAGCACTCTACCACTTGAGCCTCAGCCCTACTTCCAGCTTTTTTTTGCTTATGTGGTGCTGAGGAATCGAACTGAGGGCCTCATGCATGCAAGGCAAGCACTCTACCACTGAGCCACTTTCCCAGCCCGCATATGAAAATTTAATTTACAGGCACATGTCAGACTCATCAGGCATGTCAGTTTCATAATCACACATATTAAGCAGCATTTACAGATTTTAAATGTATACACAATGTACTTGTGGATACATATGGACCAGTAAACATTATTTCTATCTTGTACTTTTTTTGGTAGTGGTTCTGGGGTTTGAACCCAGGGCTTCAAACTAGCTAGGCAATTCCTCTACCATGTCAGTCATGTCATAGCCCTTTCTTATTTATTTTTTGTTGGTCATGGGGCTTGAATTCTGGGCTTACATGCTTCTCCCTGAGCTCTTCAGCTCAAGGCTAGTGCTCTACCACTTTGAGCCACAGTACCACTTCTGGTTTTCTGGTGGTTAATTGGAGATAAGAGTCTCACAGACTTTCCTGCCCGGGTTGACTTTGAACCCTGATCCTCAGATCCTGAGTAGCTAGGATTACAGGTGTGAGCCACTGGCACCCAGTTTATTTACTTATTTTTTTAGATAGGGTCTTGTGTTTTTGCTGTGCTCCCTCCATGCCTCCCTCCCATGAAGCTGGGGTAACAGGAAGAAATTCACCACACCCAACTTCTTGGAAGTTGAGATGGGGTCTCCCTAACCTCCTAAGTAACAAATTACCATTATGTGTCACAGTGCTAAACCTTAAATATCAATAATTGCACCAAATATATGTATTTTCACATCACACACAAATTACTCAACTTCTTTCTTTGTGCCAGTCCTGAGACTTAAACTCAGGGCTTGGGCACTGTGGCTAAGCTTTTAGTGCTTATGTGCCCAAGGCTAGAGCCCTACCACTTGAGCCACAGTTCCACTTCCAGTTGTTTTTCTTTTTTATTGTTATTGTTGTTTTTGTTTTGAGTGCTTCATTGGAAATAAGAGTCTCTTGGACCTTCCTGCCCAAATCCTGCCGGCAGCCTCCTGAGCTGCGATTCAAGTGGTAGAGCGCCAGCCTTGAGAGGTAAAGCTAAGGAACGGTGCCTAGATAGGCAGAGTTCACGTCCCAGTACTGGCACAAAAAATAGTTCTTTATCTTACAACATTTGTGGGTCCCAGGGCTTGAACTCAGGGCCTGGGCGCTGTCCCTGAGCGTTTTTGCTCAAGGCTAGCACTCTACCACTTAAGCCACAGCGCCACTCCCGGCTTTTTCTGAGTAGTTTATTGGAGATAATTGTCTCCAGGATTTTCTTGTCCGGGCTGGCTTCGAACCGTGATCCTCAGATCTCAGTTAGGATTGCAGGCGTGAGCCACCAGCGCCCGGCATTTATGTTACCACTCTGAACAAAGAAGTGGGGCAAACATTTTTTCAAGAAAACGACTGTGGCCCGTTAAAAAGGGTCAACTAAGGTCTAGATTGGTTAACGCCGCGGAGCATTTTCAGACAGCGGTCTGGGGCTGCGGGGACGAAGGCGGGCTGACCACGCAAGTCTCCCGCAGGACGGGCGGGGAAAGCCGGGAAAGGCTCCGACAGGATCCCGAGCGACGCGGCCTGGCCGAGGCCCGCCGGCGCCCAGGACGGTGGCGGGGCGTGGGGCTGCCACGCGCGAGGAGGGGCCGCGGGGCCTTACCTTTGTGCTTCTGGAAGCACGTCACGGAGCAGCTGCAACGACAGAGACCGCGCGGGCTGCGTGAGCGCGGGAGGCTCCGCGGGGCCCGCGCCGGCCCCCCAGCCCCGGCCTAGCCTCCCCCCTCCCCCGCAACCCCACGAGCTCCCCACTCACTAGGGCACGCGGCAGGCCGGGCAGCGGTACTTGGGCTTCTCCAAGCAGATCACGCAGACCGCCGTGCTACACCGCAGCGAAGCCATGCCTCCGCACCACGCGCCGGGGCCGCGCGACCCGCGGCGCGCGTCAGCGCCGGCCACGCCCACTCATTTGAGTAAGAAAGCAGAACCAATCAGCGCTCGGCACTGACGGACAGGCAAAAGCAATCAAGCGACAAGGCTCAGCTTTTCCAGACCTCACAAGTAGAGCACCGATACGCTCAATGTACGTCGAGTCGCTGCCGCCCAAATGTTTCCTGGGTTTTTGTTGTTTTTGTTTTTCTGATTTTTTTGTCTCTCCGTGGAAAAATGTATGTCAACCCCTCCCCTGTTCTTACGTGGTTATGTGACTTGGAGCAAATCATTGCTACGCTTCAGGTGTGTTGCCATAGGGTTTTTTCTTTTCTTTTTTTTTTTTTTTTTTTTGCAGGTCCTGGGCCTTGAACTCAGAGCCTAGGCTCTGTCCCTGCGCCTCTCTCTCTGCTCTAGGCTAGAGCTCTTCCACTTGAGCCATTTCTAGCTTTTTCTTTGTATGTGGTACTGAGGAACCAAACCCAGAACTTCATGCATGCTAGTCAAGCACTCTACCACTAATCCACATTCCCAGCCCTGCCATAGGATTTTCTGAATCTTACAATAGACACTGAATTCTCCCGCTCATCCAATCCTCTTATCTTTGGAAATGAAAAGTTCAGACACAAGCCAAATCAGGTGGATCATATGGCATACAGAACCCTGACTTGCCCTTAACTGCTTTAGCCACTTTTCCAAAAGGAAAGACTTTTTGCCGGGGTCGGGGGCGGCGGGGAGGGGGACCACAAAGAAAATTAGCCTTCTGCCAGATAGCTCAAGCTGGTTTTGAACCAACAATTATCCTGTCTCCACCTCTTGATTACAGTATGTGTCACTATGTCCAGGGAAAGAAATGTCTTGGGTAATGGCTACTGGCAAATTAGCTCCCAACTCTGATTCCTGCACTGTCCAGGTGCTGGAAACTTACAGAGATTAGAAGATAATGGTCAGTACAGTGGACCCATTGCAACAATGAGACGTACAAGTCATTATGTCAAAAACGAACTTTACAACTTTGGGGGGGGGAGGGTTAGGTGGGAAAGGGGGGGGAGGATGGGATGGGAAGGGGAAACAAAGGAGGAGGCTACAATGCTTGTTGAGAAATGTACTCATTGTCTTGCCCATGTAATTGTAACCCCTCTGTACAGTATTTTCACAATAAAAAAAAAGTCAAACTGATCCGCTTAAGACCATTAAAAAAAAATAAGAAGATAATAGTCAGAGCTGGGAAGGTAGCTTAGTGGTAGAGTGCTTGCCTAGCATGCATGAAGCCCTGGGTTCGATTCCTCAGTACCACATAAACAGACAAAGCTGAAGTGGTGCTGTGACTCAAGTAGTAGAGCAGTAGCCTTGAACACAAAGAGGATCATGGGCAGAGCCCAGACACTGGGTTCAAGCCTCAGGACCAGCAAAAGAGGAAGGAGGTGGTGGTGGAGAAGGAAGAGGAGGTGGAGGAAGAGAAGGAGGAGGAGGAGGAGGAAGAGGGGAAGAAGAAGATAATGCCCAGGTAGAGTGATTTACAACATAATCCTAGCTATTCAGAGAATATACATACATTATGTGAATATGTATAGATAGATAGATAGATAGATAGATAGATAGATAGATAGATAGATATACATGTATGTGAATAGCAGAGAATTAGCTCTTCATCTTTTGTTCACCACTGTGGTTACTATGCCTGCTTGGGCTTCTCACCATGACTTCTCACAAGACTTTCAGAATCAAGTAGTTTCTTTTTTTTTTTTTGGTCGGTAGTGGGGCTTGAACTCTGGGCCTAGGCTCTGTCCCTCAGCTCTTCAGCTCAAGACGAGCGCTCTACCACTTGAGCTACAGTGCCACTTCCGGTTTTCTGGTGGTTTATTGGAGATAGGAGTCTCACGGTCTTTCCTGCCCCGGCTGGCTTTGAACCGCGATCCTCAGATCTCAGCCTCCTGAGTAGCTAGGATTACAGACAAGCGTGAGCCACCAGCGCCCGGCTCAAGTAGTTCCTAGCCAAGAAACAAAAGCAAAATGGCCCCATTCCCCAGTGGATTCTATTGAAAACTAGTAACAAAATCAGGTACAACTCCAGAGAAGACACTGGAGGAGAGCCAATCTAGTTCTGTAAAGAATTGCATCAGATGTCCACATATTTATGCTCTACTATGAACCAATCAAGCTGAAACGTCCGTATTGTCTGGATTGACAGTTGGACACTTTTTGCTAATCCTGGGGCTTGAATTCAGGGCCTGGGCACTGTCTCTTAGCCCCTCTGTGCTCAAGGCTAGCACTCTACCACCTGAGCCACAGCGCCACTTCCGGTTTTTTCTGTTTATGTGGTACTGAGGAATCAAACCCAGGGCTTCATACATGTTAGGCAAGCACTCTGCTACTAAGCCACATTCCCAGCCCAGGCATTTTTTTAACTGGTTTTTCTTTGGTTACTTTGGGAACAGAAATAAATATGTGAAACCTTACATTTGAAAAAAGAAAAGGAAGGAAGGAAGAAAGAAAGACGAGAACTAGAGGATGGAGATTTGAGGCCAGCAGAGCAAAAAGTCGATGAAACCCTATCTCAATCTATAAAATATCTCAGCTACTTTGGAGGCCATAGATAGGAGGATTCTGGTCTACAGCTTTGGGCTAAAACATTGACTTTACCTGAAAAATAACTAAAGCTAAAAAAGGTGGTTGGGAAGCATATCTCAAGTGACCGAGCACTTGTCTAGCAAGAGCAAAGCAAAGCACTTTTTTTTCCAAGTACAGGAAAAGGGGACAGTCATTTTTTTTCCTTTCTTTTCTTTTCTTTTTTCTTTCTTTTTTGTCAGTCAAGGGGCTTGAACTCAGGGCCTGGGTTCTATCCCTGAGCTCTTTTGCTCAAAGCCAGCACTCTACCACCTTGAGCTACAATGCCACCTCCTGTTTTCTGGTGATTAATTAGAAATAAGAGTTTCACAGACTTTCCTGCCTAGGCTAGCTTGAAACCATTATCCCCAGATCTCAGCCTCCTGAGTAGTTAGGAACACAGGCATGAGCCACCGCGTCCAGTGGGGAGTTCATTCTTAGGATGGTATTGTGCTAGCATGACATTGGCCTCATCCCAGTCCCAACCTCGATATAGCAGATTGACCAGAGAATATGTGAGTGACCTCCTACCGAAAGATGGGACCCATGAACCCGGACAGATGGGCTATGATGAGACTTGAATGCCATCAAACTTTAGGTGTAGATAATCATACATTAAGAGTCCTGGGAGTGGCCCTGCCTAACCATGGCTCCTGCCCTGCTTTTGTTTGGCCCTCCCAGGCCTTAAATCATCCTCACTCCCAAGAATCTTCCCTTTAGTGTCATATGGTCTGATTCAATAAGGGTGCTTTACTAAGATATCCAGGTGTGGGAATGGATCTGCTACAATGTTCAGTGGCTGGAGTCCTCCCTCAACCTCTTTGCTGGCTTATGTGACTTAGAGGTAGTTGGTTACTCCCTCTGTTAAAATGGATGTTCAGGCCTACTTTTTTGTGATATTATAAAAGAATTATAAAACACTTTTTGTGGTTTACACTTTTTTAAAAAAAAATTTATTTATTTATTTATTTATTTATTTATTGTGAAAATACCATACAGAGGGGTTACAATTACATGGGCAAGATAATGAGTACATTTCTTATCAAGCATTGTTGCCTCCTCCTTTGTTTCCCCTTCAAAACACTTTCATTTTTTATTTTTATTTTTGTCAATTGTGGGGCTTGAACTCTGGGCCTGGGTGCTGTCCCTCAGCTCTTCAGCTCAAGGCAAGCACTTTACCACTTGAGCTACAGCACTACTTCTGGTTTTCTGGTAGTTTATTGGAGATAAAAGTCACATGGCCTTTCCTGCTGAGCTGGCTTTGAACCATGATCCTCAGATCTCAGCCTCCTTAGTAGCAAGTATTACAGGCGTGAGCCAGGGGCACCTGGAGAAAGCACTTTTATTGTGTCAGGCGCTAGTGGCTCAAAGTGGTAGAGCACTAGCCTGAGTACAAAAGCTCAGGACAGAGCCCAAGTCCTGAGTTTAAGCCTCGAGTAGCGCGCGTTTGCACACACACACACACACACACACATTTTATAATCAGAATTGCTACAAAGTGACACACACCTGTAACCTCACCTATCTAAAAAGCAGAAGAGATCTTTCCCATCTAATTGTAACCCCTCTGTACAGTATTTTCATAATAAAAAATAAATAAAAATAAAAAGCAGAAGAATATTGGTAATTGAAGAACAGCCCAGGAAAAATTAGCTTGGCTTTTTTTGTACGCGTGTCGGTTGTCGGGCCTGAACTCTGGGCCTGGGCGCTGTCCCTCAGCTCTTCAGCTCTACCACTTGAGCCACAGCACCACTTCTGACCTTTTCTGCTTATGTTAGGAATGGAACCCAGGGCCTCAGGCATGCAAGGCAAGCACTCTACCACAGAGCCTAGCCCCTAGCTTGGCTTTATTTAAAAAACAAAACACAGAAATTAAAGTGCTATGGGTTGGAGGAGCTAGTTCAAGAGGAAGAGCACTTACCTACCCAAGGTTCAATTCCAAGTACAGCAGGAGGAAGGAGGAGGAGGGGGAGGAGGAAGATGAAGAAGGAGGAGGAAGAAGAAGAGCTAGGCAGTGGTGGCTCATGTCTATAATCCTAGCTACCCAGCTGGCTGAGATCTAAGAACTGTGGTTCGAAGTCAGCCCAGGCAGGAAACTCTGTGAGACTCTTATCACCAATAACTACTCAAAATAGCTGGAAGTGGCGCTGTGACTCAACTGAGTAGAGCAATGGTAGAGCACTCAGTGGTAGAGCAAAAGAAGCTCAGGGACAGAGTGCAAGCCCCAGGACAGGTCAAAAAAAAAAAAATGAAGGAGGAGGAGAGAAAAGAAAAGGGAGGATGAGGAGGGGGAATGGGGAGGGTGAGGAGGAAAGGAGAGGGAGAAGGAGAAGAAGAAAAACATGTGAGTTTTGGGTTCCAGAAGCTCAGCCTTGTTCTGCTTCAGTGGGAGATCCAGGAGGGAAGGCGATC